CAATTCTAAATCGTAAATAGGTTTATATTTTTTCAATGCTAAATAAAACTAGTTAATCTTCCTTTGAAAGACTTCCCAAATCACTTAAAAAGATTTCGAGGTTAGATAATACGTGCGAAGAGCCCACCAATACTTCCCAATTGCGAACTGAATTGGTAACTTCGTAAGCACATCTCATTTCAGACATACTTAAACCGCCAACAACAAATACGATAAGTCTGGGAACATTTTTGACTTGAGTCTGGCCTTTGTCTTTATGCCAGTGGCCGTATCGAGCACCTCGTTGGCGCGTGGTAATTAGTATTTTGTGCTCGGTCTTCAAGAAAAGGAAAATGACGCAAATCTAGCTTATCTTCTATGCAATCCTCCATGATGTCTTTTATTACTGGTGTCCAACGAGACATCTGATAGGTACTTTCTGTTATCCTTCCTTTCGTGGAACAGAGTACAACTTTTTTCGTGACTGAAAAGAATAATTAACTAGCTTTTATTTGCGTTTAAAAAATATGACTTTACTTACATCAGCAATGACATTAATTCCCAAATAACTCAGATTTCTGACCATATCCTGATCTTTAGAGGACAACTGGGCGTGTGTAAAGAGTTTAGTTAGATTTTCCTCCGAAATTCCATTTTTAATCATCACATAAAGAGCGATGATACGAACTTTTGTCGTAGTTGGACACATTCTGTATACAAATTTTATATGCATACGACATACCAAAAAGTGTACATCATACCAATGATTATAAAGTAAATAGATGGGACAGGACATCTCATACAAAGAAAAATTTTTTCTATGGCGGGTTCCAGCGCTGGAACCCGCTGGAACGAACGATATTTTTATTCTTTTAATGTGTTTATCTAAATTTAAAATCTATTAAAAAATAATACAAAATTTTAAAATCGCCTTAACATCGTCTCAGTTTGTAGTTGAACCCGCTTTAAAAATGTCTATAAGTGCGGGTTCTACGGCATTTTGGCAGGCCGCGTCGTGGAACCCGCTCTCAGATGTTTTTATTTTTTTCCGTCGTGGAACCCGCTATAAAAATGAAAACATTTGAGAGCGGGTTCCACTACAAACGTCTGGCAGATGAAAGAGGGAAAGAGAGAATTATATTTTTAAATCGTAACATCTTTGGAACGATGAAAGTTTGAAACGTTCAAATCGAACCAGTGTGAGAGCAATGAGATCAGATATACCCTATACTATCCTTATTCTTCAGGTCTGTTTTTGGTATGGATTCTATCTAGGGCTTACTTTAAAACAGAGGTCGGCACGGCCCTATCCCGAGGGCATAGAAAATTTCTCTGCCCGAGCTCTGCCACACACACACTGGAATGAATCACACGCTAGACGCAGGAATGAATCAGATATAAATGCTCGATGTTCCTGTTGTCGTTGTTGGTCATTTGTTCTGCGTCTATTGACTGTGAAACGACGTGATTGTCGTTGCTCTAATCTTCTGACATTGCGTTCAGCTCGTGTATCTTCTGGCTCTTCTTAACGCAATTGCGCTATTCTAAAATTGATCAAATTACCCACTTCGCGTTTCCTTGGCATTGTTCACTGTACAAAACACTCACAACTAGAATTAATGTATTTACCTAATAATTAAGAATTTTTCCCCTTTTAAATTGAGTTTATGTTCTATGGTAGCGTGAGTTTTTCAGTATGATGAGGTAGTAACTCACATTATATGCGATTTTTGGTATGTCGAACAGGATTTAAGAGGATAATACGCTCATCAATACGATATTACTAAATACGCTCACAAAATTTCATGAGAGTCGGTATAGCCGTTTCGGAGGAGTATGGTAATAAAAACTGTGACACGAAAATTTTATATATATTGATTTTATTTCAAGTAACAAAGAATTTAAGGGGGGAAATACAATTAAAAATTTATTTTTTTCGAAAAATTTTTTTTTGTCTTAATGTACTCTAAATATATCTGAGAATAAGCCTTTAAAAGCATAAAGCTGTCCGGTACCTATTTTCAAAGTAATACGCAATTTAGTGAGTGCGTGTCAGTGGTAAACTTTAGTGAGTGGTAAACTTTAAACGCTTCTACTGAAAAGTCGTGTTTTCAAAGTCGCCGTGCAATGTACAGGTCAGAGATTTCATTTAAATCGAATGCGGTTTTTTGCTTTATGTTTGAAATGAAATTCTCCACAACATGAATTAAAGGATTTTTCATATTTATTTGTTATAACATGTTTTTTTGACGAACAAAGTCAAAAAAATTGTGTTTTTTTAAACATTTTTTTCAATTTCAAATTTTTCATGGAAAAACCATTTTTTTACATATGAAATAATTCATGTTTGTGCCTTCTCTAAGTTTAGTGCCCAGTTGCTGTTTTTTGTTTTAGACGTGATCCTGGGCCTGGAGCCTGCACGGCGCAAAAGTTTATCCCCCAAAACACGACTCCACATTATTGATCATAAATGGGCTTAATTACAATATTTTTCGAAAAACTTGACTGATTTTTATTGCCCAATAATTTTCTAATAACATGCAAAAAGAATCGCTAAGATTCATTCAATTCCCTACTTGCATTTCACTCCCAAAGATAGGCCTCATTTTAGGCCTTTTAATTGTATTTCCCCCCTTAAGTAAGATAATCTATAGATGAAAGTTATAAATACTGGAGTACAACACGCCATCAAAGCTTTAGTTGAATTGCATATTTGACTTGAATAGGAGTATGCATATTTTTTAAATATTTTTTTTAAGAATAATATAGTGTACAATATATTAAACTTCTAAAACAATTCTAAATCGTAAATAGGTTTATATTTTTTCAATGCTAAATAAAACTAGTTAATCTTCCTTTGAAAGACTTCCCAAATCACTTAAAAAGATTTCAGGAGATAATACGTGCGAAGAGCCCACCAATACTTCCCAATTGCGAACTGAATTGGTAACTTCGTAAGCACATCTCATTTCAGACATACTTAAACCGCCAACAACAAATACGATAAGTCTGGGAACATTTTTGACTTGAGTCTGGCCTTTGTCTTTATGCCAGTGGCCGTATCGAGCACTCGTTGGCGCGTGGTAATTAGTATTTTGTGCTCGGTCTTCAAGAAAAGGAAAATGACGCAAATCTAGCTTATCTTCTATGCAATCCTCCATGATGTCTTTTATTACTGGTGTCCAACGAGACATCTGATAGGTACTTTCTGTTATCCTTTCCTTTCGTGGAACAGAGTACAACTTTTTCGTGACTGAAAAGAATAATTAACTAGCTTTTATTTGCGTTTAAAAAATATGACTTTACTTACATCAGCAATGACATTAATTCCCAAATAACTCAGATTTCTGACCATATCCTGATCTTTAGAGGACAACTGGGCGTGTGTAAAGAGTTTAGTTAGATTTTCCTCCGAAATTCCATTTTTAATCATCACATAAAGAGCGATGATACGAACTTTGTCGTAGTTGGACACATTCTGTATACAAATTTTATATGCATACGACATACCAAAAATGTATATCATACCAATGATTATAAAGTAAATAGATGGGACAGGACATCTCATACAAAGAAAAATTTTCTATGGCGGGTTCCAGCGCTGGAACCCGCTGGAACGAACGATATTTTTATTCTTTTAATGTGTTTATCTAAATTTAAAATCTATTAAAAAATAATACAAAATTTTAAAATCGCCTTAACATCGTCTCAGTTTGTAGTTGAACCCGCTTTAAAAATGTCTATAAGTGCGGGTTCTACGGCATTTTGGCAGGCCGCGTCGTGGAACCCGCTCTCAGATGTTTTTATTTTTTCCGTCGTGGAACCCGCTATAAAAATGAAAACATTTGAGAGCGGGTTCCACTACAAACGTCTGGCAGATGAAAGAGGGAAAGAGAGAATTATATTTTTAAATCGTAACATCTTTGGAACGATGAAAGTTTGAAACGTTCAAATCGAACCAGTGTGAGAGCAATGAGATCAGATATACCCTATACTATCCTTATTCTTCAGGTCTGTTTTTGGTATGGATTCTATCTAGGGCTTACTTTAAAACAGAGGTCGGCACGGCCCTATCCCGAGGGCATAGAAAATTTCTCTGCCCGAGCTCTGCCACACACACACTGGAATGAATCACACGCTAGACGCAGGAATGAATCAGATATAAATGCTCGATGTTCCTGTTGTCGTTGTTGGTCATTTGTTCTGCGTCTATTGACTGTGAAACGACGTGATTGTCGTTGCTCTAATCTTCTGACATTGCGTTCAGCTCGTGTATCTTCTGGCTCTTCTTAACGCAATTGCGCTATTCTAAAATTGATCAAATTACCCACTTCGCGTTTCCTTGGCATTGTTCACTGTACAAAACACTCACAACTAGAATTAATGTATTTACCTAATAATTAAGAATTTTTCCCCTTTTAAATTGAGTTTATGTTCTATGGTAGCGTGAGTTTTTCAGTATGATGAGGTAGTAACTCACATTATATGCGATTTTTGGTATGTCGAACAGGATTTAAGAGGATAATACGCTCATCAATACGATATTACTAAATACGCTCACAAAATTTCATGAGAGTCGGTATAGCCGTTTCGGAGGAGTATGGTAATAAAAACTGTGACACGAAAATTTTATATATATTGATTTTATTTCAAGTAACAAAGAATTTGGAATACTCCAGAATACTGGAGTACAACACGCCATCAAAACTTTAGTTGAATTGCATATTTGACTTGAATAGGAGTATGCATATTTTTTAAATATTTTTTTTAAGAATAATATAGTGTACAATATATTAAACTTCTAAAACAATTCTAAATCGTAAATAGGTTTATATTTTTTCAATGCTAAATAAAACTAGTTAATCTTCCTTTGAAAGACTTCCCAAATCACTTAAAAAGATTTCAGGAGATAATACGTGCGAAGAGCCCACCAATACTTCCCAATTGCGAACTGAATTGGTAACTTCGTAAGCACATCTCATTTCAGACATACTTAAACCGCCAACAACAAATACGATAAGTCTGGGAACATTTTTGACTTGAGTCTGGCCTTTGTCTTTATGCCAGTGGCCGTATCGAGCACTCGTTGGCGCGTGGTAATTAGTATTTTGTGCTCGATCTTCAAGAAAAGGAAAATGACGCAAATCTAGCTTATCTTCTATGCAATCCTCCATGATGTCTTTTATTACTGGTGTCCAACGAGACATCTGATAGGTACTTTCTGTTATCCTTTCCTTTCGTGGAACAGAGTACAACTTTTTCGTGACTGAAAAGAATAATTAACTAGCTTTTATTTGCGTTTAAAAAATATGACTTTACTTACATCAGCAATGACATTAATTCCCAAATAACTCAGATTTCTGACCATATCCTGATCTTTAGAGGACAACTGGGCGTGTGTAAAGAGTTTAGTTAGATTTTCCTCCGAAATTCCATTTTTAATCATCACATAAAGAGCGATGATACGAACTTTGTCGTAGTTGGACACATTCTGTATACAAATTTTATATGCATACGACATACCAAAAAATGTATATCATACCAATGATTATAAAGTAAATAGATGGGACAGGACATCTCATACAAAGAAAAATTTTCTATGGCGGGTTCCAGCGCTGGAACCCGCTGGACGAACGATATTTTTATTCTTTTAATGTGTTTATCTAAATTAAAAATCTATTAAAAAATAATACAAAATTTTAAAATCGCCTTAACATTGTCTCAGTTTGTAGTTGAACCCGCTTTAAAAATGTCTATAAGTGCGGGTTCTACGGCATTTTGGCAGGCCGCGTCGTGGAACCCGCTCTCAGATGTTTTTTATTTTTCCGTCGTGGAACCCGCTATAAAAATGAAAACATTTGAGAGCGGGTTCCACTACAAACGTCTGGCAGATGAAAGAGGGAAAGAGAGAATTATATTTTTAAATCGTAACATCTTTGGAACGATGAAAGTTTGAAACGTTCAAATCGAACCAGTGTGAGAGCAATGAGATCAGATATACCCTATACTATCCTTATTCTTCAGGTCTGTTTTTGGTATGGATTCTATCTAGGGCTTACTTTAAAACAGAGGTCGGCACGGCCCTATCCCGAGGGCATAGAAAATTTCTCTGCCCGAGCTCTGCCACACACACACTGGAATGAATCACACGCTAGACGCAGGAATGAATCAGATATAAATGCTCGATGTTCCTGTTGTCGTTGTTGGTCATTTGTTCTGCGTCTATTGACTGTGAAACGACGTGATTGTCGTTGCTCTAATCTTCTGACATTGCGTTCAGCTCGTGTATCTTCTGGCTCTTCTTAACACAATTGCGCTATTCTAAAATTGATCAAATTACCCACTTCGCGTTTCCTTGGCATTGTTCACTGTACAAAACACTCACAACTAGAATTAATGTATTTACCTAATAATTAAGAATGTTTCCCCTTTTAAATTGAGTTTATGTTCTATGGTAGCGTGAGTTTTTCAGTATGATGAGGTAGTAACTCATATTATATGCGATTTTTGGTATGTCGAACAGGATTTAAGAGGATAATACGCTCATCAATACGATATTACTAAATACGCTCACAAAATTTCATGAGAGTCGGTATAGCCGTTTCGGAGGAGTATGGTAATAAAAACTGTGACACGAAAATTTTATATATATTGATTTTATTTCAAGTAACAAAGAATTTAAGTAAGATAATCTATAGATGAAAGTTATAAATACTGGAGTACAACACGCCATCAAAGCTTTAGTTGAATTGCATATTTGACTTGAATAGGAGTATGCATATTTTTTAAATATTTTTTTAAGAATAATATAGTGTACAATATATTAAACTTCTAAAACAATTCTAAATCGTAAATAGGTTTATATTTTTTCAATGCTAAATAAAACTAGTTAATCTTCCTTTGAAAGACTTCCCAAATCACTTAAAAAGATTTCAGGAGATAATACGTGCGAAGAGCCCACCAATACTTCCCAATTGCGAACTGAATTGGTAACTTCGTAAGCACATCTCATTTCAGACATACTTACACCGCCAACAACAAATACGATAAGTCTGGGAACATTTTTGACTTGTGTCTGGCCTTTGTCTTTATGCCAGTGGCCGTATCGAGCACTCGTTGGCGCGTGGTAATTAGTATTTTGTGCTCGGCCTTCAAGAAAAGGAAAATTACGCAAATCTAGCTTATCTTCTATGCAATCCTCCATGATGTCTTTTATTACTGGTGTCCAACGAGACATCTGATAGGTACTTTCTGTTATCCTTTCCTTTCGTGGAACAGAGTACAACTTTTTTCGTGACTGAAAAGAATAATTAACTAGCTTTTATTTGCGTTTAAAAAAATATGACTTTACTTACATCAGCAATGACATTAATTCCCAAATAACTCAGATTTCTGACCATATCCTGATCTTTAGCGGACAATTGGGCGTGTGTAAAGAGTTTAGTTAGATTTTCCTCCGAAATTCCATTTTTAATCATCACATAAAGAGCGATGATACGAACTTTGTCGTAGTTGGACACATTCTGTATAAAAATTTTATATGCATACGACATACCAAAAAATGTAAATCATACCAATGATTATAAAGTACACAGATGGGACAGGACATCTCATACAAAGAAAAATTTTCTATGGTGGGTTCCAGCGCTGGAACCCGCTGGAACGAACGGGTTCCACAGCGCGACAAGTTAAGTTTGAGAAATTTTTCGCGCGACAAAGAATGAGGAATAGCCGAGTGGTAGAGTGCTTGGCTGATGTGCAAAGTAAAACGAGTTCAAACCAGGCTCGGGACATCCATTTTTTTACATTTTAAATCTATTTATATTATATTTTTATTCTTTTAATGTGTTTATTTAAATATAAATTCTATTAAAAATAATACAAAATTTTAAAATCGCCTTAACATCGTCTCAGTTCGTAGTTGAACCCGCTTTAAAAATGTCTATAAGTGCGGGTTCTACGGCATTTTGGCAGGCCGCGTCGTGGAACCCGCTCTCAGATGTTTTCATTTTTTTCCGTCGTGGAACCCGCTATAAAAATGAAAACATTTGAGAGCGGGTTCCACTACAAACGTCTGGCAGATTAAAGAGGGAAAGAGAGAATTATATTTTTAAATCGTAACATCTTTGGAACGATGAAAGTTTGAAACGTTCAAATCGAACCAGTGTGAGAGCAATGAGATCAGATATACCCTATACTATCCTTATTCTTCAGGTCTGTTTTTGGTATGGATTCTATCTAGGGCTTACTTTAAAACAGAGGTCGGCACGGCCCTATCCCGAGGGCATAGAAAATTTCTCTGCCCGAGCTCTGCCACACACACACTGGAATGAATCACACGCTAGACGCAGGAATGAATCAGATATAAATGCTCGATGTTCCTGTTGTCGTTGTTGGTCATTTGTTCTGCGTCTATTGACTGTGAAACGACGTGATTGTCGTTGCTCTAATCTTCTGACATTGCGTTCAGCTCGTGTATCTTCTGGCTCTTCTTAACGCAATTGCGCTATTCTAAAATTGATCAAATTACCCACTTCGCGTTTCCTTGGCATTGTTCACTGTACAAAACACTCACAACTAGAATTAATGTATTTACCTAATAATTAAGAATTTTTCCCCTTTTAAATTGAGTTTATGTTCTATGGTAGCGTGAGTTTTTCAGTATGATGAGGTAGTAACTCACATTATATGCGATTTTTGGTATGTCGAACAGGATTTAAGAGGATAATACGCTCATCAATACGATATTACTAAATACGCTCACAAAATTTCATGAGAGTCGGTATAGCCGTTTCGGAGGAGTATGGTAATAAAAACTGTGACACGAAAATTTTATATATATTGATTTTATTTCAAGTAACAAAGAATTTAAGTAAGATAATCTATAGATGAAAGTTATAAATACTGGAGTACAACACGCCATCAAAGCTTTAGTTGAATTGCATATTTGACTTGAATAGGAGTATGCATATTTTTTAAATATTTTTTTAAGAATAATATAGTGTACAATATATTAAACTTCTAAAACAATTCTAAATCGTAAATAGGTTTATATTTTTTCAATGCTAAATAAAACTAGTTAATCTTCCTTTGAAAGACTTCCCAAATCACTTAAAAAGATTTCAGGAGATAATACGTGCGAAGAGCCCACCAATACTTCCCAATTGCGAACTGAATTGGTAACTTCGTAAGCACATCTCATTTCAGACATACTTAAACCGCCAACAACAAATACGATAAGTCTGGGAACATTTTTGACTTGAGTCTGGCCTTTGTCTTTATGCCAGTGGCCGTATCGAGCACTCGTTGGCGCGTGGTAATTAGTATTTTGTGCTCGGTCTTCAAGAAAAGGAAAATGACGCAAATCTAGCTTATCTTCTATGCAATCCTCCATGATGTCTTTTATTACTGGTGTCCAACGAGACATCTGATAGGTACTTTCTGTTATCCTTTCCTTTCGTGGAACAGAGTACAACTTTTTTCGTGACTGAAAAGAATAATTAACTAGCTTTTATTTGCGTTTAAAAAAATATGACTTTACTTACATCAGCAATGACATTAATTCCCAAATAACTCAGATTTCTGACCATATCCTGATCTTTAGAGGACAACTGGGCGTGTGTAAAGAGTTTAGTTAGATTTTCCTCCGAAATTCCATTTTTAATCATCACATAAAGAGCGATGATACGAACTTTGTCGTAGTTGGACACATTCTGTATACAAATTTTATATGCATACGACATACCAAAAATGTATATCATACCAATGATTATAAAGTAAATAGATGGGACAGGACATCTCATACAAAGAAAAATTTTCTATGGCGGGTTCCAGCGCTGGAACCCGCTGGAACGAACGATATTTTTATTCTTTTAATGTGTTTATCTAAATTTAAAATCTATTAAAAAATAATACAAAATTTTAAAATCGCCTTAACATCGTCTCAGTTTGTAGTTGAACCCGCTTTAAAAATGTCTATAAGTGCGGGTTCTACGGCATTTTGGCAGGCCGCGTCGTGGAACCCGCTCTCAGATGTTTTTATTTTTTCCGTCGTGGAACCCGCTATAAAAATGAAAACATTTGAGAGCGGGTTCCACTACAAACGTCTGGCAGATGAAAGAGGGAAAGAGAGAATTATATTTTTAAATCGTAACATCTTTGGAACGATGAAAGTTTGAAACGTTCAAATCGAACCAGTGTGAGAGCAATGAGATCAGATATACCCTATACTATCCTTATTCTTCAGGTCTGTTTTTGGTATGGATTCTATCTAGGGCTTACTTTAAAACAGAGGTCGGCACGGCCCTATCCCCGAGGGCATAGAAAATTTCTCTGCCCGAGCTCTGCCACACACACACTGGAATGAATCACACGCTAGACGCAGGAATGAATCAGATATAAATGCTCGATGTTCCTGTTGTCGTTGTTGGTCATTTGTTCTGCGTCTATTGACTGTGAAACGACGTGATTGTCGTTGCTCTAATCTTCTGACATTGCGTTCAGCTCGTGTATCTTCTGGCTCTTCTTAACGCAATTGCGCTATTCTAAAATTGATCAAATTACCCACTTCGCGTTTCCTTGGCATTGTTCACTGT